TCACAGCCCCACACAAGCCTTCCCTCCCTCCAGCTCTTATCTGTTTATTCTAAGGCTATGCCACTGCCCCACAATCATGGGGCTATTTACTTCTGTGGGGGGCAGGAGAAATTTCTGAAAAATAACAGGCCAACGAACTCAGAGGAGTGTCGGTTTGGCTGAGAGTTTTAGTTTGGTTCCTTTCTTACAGTTAGAATAAAGGGGGTCTCACAGCTGAAGGGCTTTCTGGGGGCTTCCCTTCTGCATCCAGAAAAGTGGGGCCATAGAGAATCCCATGGTTCTTTGGAACAGCTGTGATGTCTCTGTTGAAGAGCATCATATCACCCCATCCCACACGTTGCTAAAATATGCTGGGCTAGAAGTCTGGTTGTCTCTGGAGCATATCTCTCTCCCTCAAACTCACCTCTTCTTTCCCTTTCCATCTTTCTCCTGCCCCTTCTTCTCTCTTGTTCTTTTCTTGTCATTTCGCGTTAATGGCACTTGGGGGCTCTGTTAAGTCCCTTCACTTGAACTTATGAATCAGATCCTACCTTCAGAAATCAGACCTGTCTAGCCCTGTATTGTTGACAGTGACTGGCAGAAACAGCTCTCTGGGTTTCAGGCAGGACTTTTTCCAGTCTTGCCTGGACATGCTGAGAATTGAGCTGGGGACCTTGGTACTCAAAGCAGCCACTCTGCCACTTTCCCACTTCCTTCCCTTTCCTCCATCCCTCCAAACATGAACAGTCATCCAGTTTTTTGTTGTAGGGGTGCCTCCGAAGGTTTCTGCACACTTCTGCAAACAGTGGATTTCATCCAAGGTGGCTGTTTCCTCCTCCTCCTTAAAGCATGGCTCAATTTGACTGTAAAACTATCTGCGTGGTGGGACTCAGATCAGTGCTAACAGGAGCCATGGCAATTACTGTTTCCATCCCATCTTCTTTCCTATCAAGAAGGAATACAATAAAAGAACTTCAGAATAATTAAAATAGAATAATTTGAGGATACAACCATCAGGGAGAGAGAGAATCATGGTTCAGTGGTGCAAACATGCTTTGCATGAAGAACTCAAGCTTGATCCCTGTCTTTCCAGTTACAAACCAAACATTCAGAGAAGGGTAGAGGTAGCCGGAGATGGGATAGACCTTTCCCAAAATGCAAGGCAGCCCCTGCTGACCAAGCAGAGAATACTGGACTAAATGGGCAAATATAAGAGGATTTCTCCGTATGCCATACCCGTCCCTGTTCCAAATGTGCCTGCCTTGATTTCTGTGAAATCTGCCAAGGACTACAGTTTTGTGTATCAGAGCCAGAGGAGTGTGAAATCCATTCTTATATGTCTCTTGTCTCCAAGCAATCATAATTACTGTGTGTGATGTGAGTCAGATGCATCATTAAAATAAATTAGTGCACACTGAGATGAAACCGTTGTTTTACATAAACTCCTCCTGGGGAAGAAGAAGGAGACTGCAAATCACATTAATACCGCTGTGCTGTTCTCTGATACTGAACAAGCACCTCTCTGTGGTTCTGAGTCTACGTAGGAGGAAGCTGAATCAGCAGAAAAGTTTCTGCATGGATTTCTAATCAGAAGCCCAGCACCAGCTGAGGTTCCTTGTCTGTTCTGGTATGGGAATGGGGAACGGGGTTGGCCCCGTCCAACTAACTGGCAAAATCAGGGGTAGAAAAAGCAAAGATCAGTAATAGGAAATAGAAATCAGCAGGAGACAGAAGCACTAGAAAGACGGTGGCTTGGAATGGAAGAACCAGAAGACTGGAAGAGCTGAAGTGAAGGAGTAAGGAGATGTAAAAAATGGAAACAAATTATTGGAGAGGCAGTGTAATCGCGAGGCTGGAGCAGCAGCTCTCCAGATGAGTTGGATGACCATTCCCATTAGCCCATTCCAGCATGTCCAATATCAGGAATTATCAGATTTGCCACCCACGCATCTGGAAGGCTCCATACAGCCCACCTGTGGTTGATTTTGAGTGCTGGATGTGGTCCAGGGAGAGCGAGGTTAGGTGTAGGCAACCCAGCGTCTTTCAGAAGTGTTGGACTGCAGCTAGCACAGTCAGTGGCAAGCGACTGTAGAAGCTGACATCCAAAATACCTGGAGGGTGCTGGGGAATTTCTCTCATACCTTGACTCTATTCAGCCACAAGGTCCACAGAGTGGCCTTGAGCCAGTATAACTTGCCTTAAAATTGTCATTGTGGCAACCTCCTGAAGCTTGAGGTTCACAAGGAAGAGCCAAACCTCCAACTTACAGAGGAAAATCCTCAGGTTGAAGAGCTGTCAGGGGTTAGTTCTCCACTTGGAGATATTCTCCATGGGAAAAGCAGACCAGTCTTGGTTCACTTTGAAGATAAAGAGCATCAGGAAGAGAAAGCCAGCCTAGAAGCTGCACCTGAACTGAGTAGGCACACAGTGTACAGCCAGTGTTGCATGGTTCTTAGAGTGCCGGACGGGGCTGGAAAGATCCAGGTTCTGGTCCTGCTTGGTCATGAAGCTCACTGGGTGACTTTGGGCCAGTCGCCAGCCACTCACTCTCAGCCTAACCTACATCACAGAGTGTTGTAGGGATAGAATGAAGCTATGCCAGTTTCCTGGGGTTCCTCCCAAACAGAAAAAGGCAGGGTATACGTGCAGTGTAAGAATAATACTACAAAAGTACATTGTAACAACAAGAAACAACTTCACTTGGCCACAATGCGGCCAAAGAACCCAAGGTGCCTTGCACGGTCATCCTCTTTATTTTATTCCCACAACAACCCAATGGAGTGGGCGAGGATTTTAATCAGTGACTGGCCAAAGTCACCCAGTGAGCTCCGTGGCCTGGAGGGGACTAGAACCTGGAGCCCTTGAGTCCCTGGCCAGCACTAGCCATTATGCTACACTGGCTTTCAGTGGGCAGGAAAGCCAACTGCTCACTCTTATGAATGGAGGGAGGGACTGAGATTTGGAAAACCACACAGAGGGGATGAGTGCGTGCCTGCCACTGCCGGCACGATGGCTGGGTCAGATTTCAGCTCTCTTCTACCTGCTTTGAACTGTTCGTGGGGGAAATGGTCCCAGCACCAGATCTGTTGTCCTTCCAGAGGGGGCATCCTTAGCTGGTGGTCACTTTTGTAGCATCAAAAGAGAGGAAATGGCTCACCACAAGGACAGAAGTGGCAGCAGATTTAAATATGCAGATATATGTGTATAGATGCAAATATAGAAGGAACTGCTATCGTTTAAATGGAAATGCAATTCATCTTCCCATGGTTGGTGCAGGGTGGCAAGCCACTGGATGACTTGGGTCCAGCCACAGACTCTCAGCCCAAACTGCTTGACAGGGTTGTTGTAAGGCTAACACGAGCAGGAGGATTGTGTAAGCCACCTTGAGCTTCTTGCAGGAAATATGGGGGGGGGGGGTACTGATCTAATGAATCCGTACAGCTGCTGTGTGTTTAATGGCAGGGCGGGGGGCATCTGAGCACCATACAGGCCCATTGGGAGACAGGGGCTGGTTCAGGCCACGTGCTGTCTGAGCATGATGGGAGTTGCAGTCCTGCCCATCTGGAGGACACCTGCTCAGGGAAGGCTGACTAATGCCCCACTAAATGCATTAGCACCTGCCTCAGGTCGGCACAGCTGTCCCTTGGAAGATGCGTGGGGGCCCTTTCCACAGAAGGGTAGCTTGAAAAATGATTCATTTGATCATTGTTCTCTGAATCCCTGCCAGCAGTTGTTTAGCAAATAAACACTGTAGCTGCTGGGTGATTGAAGTTTTAATTACTAAGCAATTAGCACTTCAAGATTTCAATGCAGAACATCGTGTGCTTTTTTCTTAAAGCCACAAGATCAAAAGGGGTCACAGCTTAGGGACATGATGAGACTGCCACCACTGGTTTGTAAAGTAAGACCCCCAGACCCCCGACCTGGGCTGCCACGGCCAGTTTGAGGTCTCTGTGGGGCAAGCAGGTGTCTCTCCTCACAAGCTTTTTGTATTTCCCCTCAAGTGAGAGGGGAGGCTGTGGGTGACCATGGGCACAAGCCATGTTGGAGGAGTCCGAGGGGATTGGATCTAGTGGATCCAAAGCCTCTCCTTCCATGCGTGCACCCACACACCAGGGACTCTGTGCTGTGGGGGATGCCACTGGGAGGAGATCAAGACCAGCAGGGCTTTTTCTAGAGAAACCAGCACCATCCAGAAGGAAAATGTCATGCCATGGGGAAAAACTCCCCTTTCCATCAGTGGAGAAGAACCTCCAGCCAAGTTTTGCACATGCACATCCCCACCAGCCAGTCCCCAACAGAGTTTTTTAATTACCCAGTACTTTTCTGATAAAGAAAATAGCTTGTGATTTTAAAATATCAGTGTGACTTCAACCAAGCAGCTGGGATTTGGCTGGGGCATCTGATGGCAAACTGAGAGGAGGAGCTTGGCAGAATTCAGTGGTCCGGTGGAACTGCTCAGACAGAATCTGTGGATCCAGGGAAAAGATCGTCCAGCCTTCCTCAAGCTGGTGCAGCTGAGTTAGACTGCAACTCACATCATTCCCTGGTCATGCTGGGTGGGAATGATGGAAATAGCAGTCCAACACATCTAGGGAGTGCCAGCTTGTGGGAGGATGATATAAATGGCTCTAGGGGAGGAGTGGCAACATCCAGTGAGTCACATGGAGGGCCTAACAAATATTCTGATGTATTCCTATGCATATACATCCATATGCATAGTAAGCCAAATATTGGCTTGTGATGAGGGAGCAGGACAACTCAAAATGAGAACAATGTGAGGAGAGAGGTAGAGCGTATTTGAACCAAGGGCTGGCAGAACTGGATTCATTCTGGTACCAAGCAGAATTTCAACCAAAAAAAATTAAAATTACCATTGAACATGGATCTGCTGAACAGCTCTGAAAAGTCTGGAAACTGTCCATTTGGGGTCAAGGAATTGGGGAGGGCAGAGAAATGGCATATTGTGCAATGACCAGTGATGGTCTTTTTTTTTCATCTCCTTCCACCACCACCCCCAGCAATGCTGTTCCCATCAGCTCATCGAGTCAAGAGGTCCTCAGCTGCGCTCCTCAATCCAGTACTTCAGAAGTCTCAAGATGATGTCGACCTTCTATTTGAGGTTCAGTATGCATGGCCACTTTCCCTAATCTTTCTAGGCAGAAACTCTATCAATGATTCTGGATAATTGTGTCTTGAAAATAACCGAGATGATAAGGAGTTCTAAGCAGAGTTGTTATGGCATTTCTTTCCAGGTTGTTCTGAATTCATCTCATGTCAAGAAGCTCCCCTCTTCACCTGCTGCAAATTACTTCATGGATTTGGCTTGGTCTGAGCAAAAACAGACCAAAAACTTGCTCCTTTATTAAAGTCAGAGTTTTATACTTCTACAAACTAAACATAACAATAAGTAAACAAGATTTATAGAATGCCCTTCAAATACCTGACCAGGGCAGATTATAACAACATATTACAACAGCCCAATTCTGCAACACTGTCCCTCACATGTATGGAAGGCAGAAAATATGTTTTGTTACCTCCTGAAAGCACATTTTTAAGGGGGCTTTCTCTGGTTTGTAATTAATTGCAATTAATCACAATGTTGCTCCATGTTGTTGTATTTGTATTGCTCGGGTACTAATCAAGTCCTATGGGAATTCCCTTATGGCCACACACTCTTCTCCAGGCCCGCCTCTCTCCTCCAACCACCAAATCATCTGATGATTTCCAAGACTTCATGCAGTTTTTTCCTCATTCTAAAAGGCTGATTTGCCTCTCCTGGTGGCAGCGAGAGCACAATGGTCAAACTGTCGCGCTATATTGACCTGTCCCTGCTGCCTTGGCCCCTGTGCAGCTCTGAATTGCACCTCCCCGAGAACTTCTCCGAATTGGAGTCCATCCCCTGGGAAGAATACAGACCTGCACTCTTGCACACCTCATTTATACAACTCCCAATAGAAATGATATTCAGCTAGACAGAGCAACAATCTGACTTGGGGCAGGGCTGCTTTTTGCATTCCTGAAAGGCTGACTGGAACCTTTCCTTTCTATCCTCCATGTTCCCCCTGTGGAGGAATGTTCCATTATATAACTCAGCTCCTGCTCTCAGAAGTGGTATGGTCCAAGCACCTCCTCTAACCTTTCAAAGAGCTAAAGTAGAGTCAGCATGAATCCATTTTCTGTGTTTTGGTCTCAGTTACTTCTAGGGGAGCTGGAAATCAACGATGACCTGAAGATCTCCATCAAAGATGAGGAACTGGCTTCCATGAGGAAGGCAAAGGCATTTGACACCGTGTGCAATGATGTGATCCCCAAAAGTATCACAGATATTCAGCGACTGCATGCCAGGCTGTCAGGCTACCCGGGCATGCTCAAGAGAGAGGATTTCGAAAGGACAGTGTTGACTATGGTCTATACAGCATATCGGGCAGCTCAGTCCCAAGGACACCAGAGAGAAACCTGGGCAGAAACCTTTGTGACTCTCTACAAAGCCCTGAAGCATGACTTGATGTTGTCGTCCAGCCAAACACCATCATCTCAAAGGACTTGATCGACCAGAAATTCACTCTGATAGGAAGCACAGCTGCCTTTTTGCTTTGTAAAAAGGAACAAAATGCTTAAGACTGCAGACACAAAGCATTTCTTTGTTCTCTAGCTCCTCCTAGAGGATACCTGTTCTAAATTTCTCTGTATACAATGACTAATGGTACTAATTCAGCCAGAGGTTCTTCTAAATTTCTCTTCATCTGAATTTCTCCCTGAAAATGGCCTGGCCTTATTGTTGAAGGAGAGCCCCACTCTTCTGCTGTTGCTTAATTTCCCATTTTTGCAGAGAATGCTGTGAGTACAGAGTTTATCAGAGGAGAGGTGGACACATTCTCCAAAATTCTGATGAACTTGTAAAACAACCAGTTTTCCAAGGTGTGTTTGTGTATGTATGTGTGGAGGGGTAGACATAAAAACTGTACATCTTTTTTTTCCCTGAGCTAGTCTAAGGACTCATAAAAATGTCTCCACCAATCCCTGCCAGCCCATTACCTCCAAAATCCCTCTCTTCTGGGTCTTGACCAGCCTCACCCCACTCCCAACACACTCCACCTTCCATTCTTTGCCAGACGGTTGTGATGCGAGCAACAGTAATGGGGAAAGGAAATGGAAAGTTTTCCCCTTTCCTTCCTCCATCCCTGTCATCCTGTTGCATCAATACCAGCCCCCAGGACACAAATCCTTGAAGAACATCGGTGATGGAGCTCTCCCAAGGACCCCCGCAGTTGCTTTGGAACAGCGTTGTGCAGATAGCTTTGCAACAGAGTACAAATGGCTTCTTGAAATTTCCCAGCCGATTTGTGCACAAAAAACTGGGAGAATGTTTCACCGATTTACTGCGCAAGGAGCAGAAATTCTCCGACGGTTTCTCACCAGTAGGGCTGAACATTGGAAGGGGCTGTAGCACAGCTCATTTCTTCTTCCCTATGGGTAGGGAGGACTTTACCAGTGCACGTGGCAATAGCATCAGTGGTGTTAGCAGGTGAGTTCCCATTTCTATCCAGTGCAATGCCTGTGTGTGTGTGTGTGTGTGTGTGTGTGTGTGTGTGTGTGTGTGTTGGGCAGGGAGGTGCTGTGTGTTCAGCTCCAAGGAAAAAATGGTGCTATTGCTGAGTCAGAATCTGCCCTTCCTTCAATTCCCCAAAAGTTCTATTTCCCTGCAAAAGAGCTCTCCGTTGTTCTGGTTAATTTTCAGGGTATCAAAAGCAAAGCATGTGTGTGTGGAGGGGGGGAGTGAGCTTATCCTTTCACTCCGAAGCAGCTGAGAGTGAGATGTGTGTTTTCATTCTGTTCCGTTTATCTTTCCTTCTCTGCTGCCTCCCAGGCTGCCTGCACTTCCTGATCTGGAAAAACCCTTTGGGAAGAATTGCCTCCTAGCATCTTCCCAGGGCTCCAACTGAAATGTGAGAAGCCAAGGAGGCTACAGGCTGCATGAAAAATAGGACGCTTGTACAAACTTTCCCTAAGAATGGTGAGCATAAATAACCTGAATCCAACCCATGAGAATTTCTCTGAAATTTCTTCTCCTTTGATCCCACCCCCCGAAAGCATTTTCTTTTCTATCCGCTATTTTCTGAATAAGTCACCATTAACTGATTTCTGTGGCTCATTATGTTTGTTTATTTCCAGTGTGTTGTACTTAAACAAAAATGAAATGCAGGATGGCTTTCTCTGGGGGGATAAAATAAAGAACTAAATGTGCTATAGAATCATTTGCTATTTACTCCGAGGAATAAATTACTGTTATCTGCTACCCAGCAGTAACTTTATTTCCTCAAGGTTGGTGTGAATGTGTGAAATGCAAGGTCTTTGTTTCAATGCAAATGTGTCCATGAGCAGAGCCAATTTTGGAATATTTAGGAAGCCATGGCATGGCTCAGCAGGAGATCCAGTCCCCTCTGCCTCCGAGCCAGAGTGGAAGGAATTATGCTGGTTGGGAACATGACCTTAAGGAGGGGAAAGAGTGGATTTTTGGTTGGAAGGGTGTGGAAGAGACTGGGCAGGCCAGGATATAACTTATGCTGAGGTCTTTCCAATTAGGCTTTGGACAAAACTCAGTGAAATTCATCCCTCCAGCTTTCATAGCTCAGAGCAGAAGAGAAAGTGCCTTAGAAAGTGATCCGGACCACAAGGAAATGTACAAATGCTGCAGAATGGAGGTTGCAACATTCCTGAATGCCAGGTTCAAAGACACAAACAAAACTTGCTGCACATGACTCAGAAAAGAAATGCTGCTTACACAGTGCATGGAGCTCACTTCCTGATGAGCGCCCCATGAATGTTGGGTGTTTTTGCCAGGAATTCTGACTCAGAGCTACAACAACGTGGATCAGAGTCCAGGAAGTCAAGTCCAGGGAATCTGATGGATCCTAACCCAAAACAGATTCCTTACAAATCCTTATATCCAAACTCTTTCCCTCCCACTTTGAAATGCCCAGTTGGGCAGGCAAAAAGGTCCATCTAGTGAAGAATGCCAGACAGGAGGACAAGGTGGAGAAGATCTCCTTCACCTCTTCTCTGTCCTATTGAATGATCAAGAGTACATTCATTGAAGTACAATCTATTGGAGTACACACTTGCTTAGAATCAAGTCCTGTTGTTTCCTATGGGGCTTACTCTAGAGACAGAGGGGAAATTATTTGAGTTTGCATTTTAATATGAGCTTATCTACTTTTGCACTTTCAAGTCACTATGCAAAGCCAACACTCTGTTATCCTTCAAAATTTGCAGTGAAGTTCACCAGACTAAAAACATACACAAAAATGTATATGTTTGGCCTTGTATTAAGGAGAATTGTTTGCTAATGTGCATACTGGGACAAAATTCACACAAAAATGCCTTAGGGGACATGTGCACAAATTTATGCTCATACATTTTCATAAGTTTTGAGGATGAACTGGACTTGACTGGAGAAATTCTCAAATTTCAACAAATTTGCAATAAATTTAATGGGAAAACAAGAAACTGAAAGGGACAGATTTTTCCATTCCTAGCTTACTCTCAGGTATAGTACCTTAAAAAAATTCTTGACATAAAAACTGGAGGAATTAAGTTGCTTTACACCAGGGAATATTTTTGGCATAATCTCTTTCAGACAGTGACAGAATTACCATAAGAGGTGACAAGCATGTTATCCAATCACCACATTGCTTACAGATCAAAGGTAGTATTAAAAGAAAAAAAGTCATCAGCACTGTTCCTGTGAATGAAACAAGGGATGTTGGCAAGAACAGGTATTGTCAGCTCTTTTGCACACATGTAGTAGAAAGACAGCATTTCTTTTCTAGAAATTCTTTGGAAGTTCCAGGAAGACTAATATTTATATATATTTTCCCAAACTGTGCACTCCACAGTCAGGCTTCAGCAGAGTCAGCTTGGTATGGCTTCAAGCCTAGAATGGACTCTGTGTGAGCTCGGAGTCCATGGCAGATCAAAGCCCCCTTCTAGCTGTGTAATTACACACTCCTGGCTGGCTGTCTCATGACTGAGTCACTCTCTGGCACTGCTCAGGAAGACTCCTGCTCACTTCCCTGGGGAGCAGATAGGTCAGTTGAGGTGCCTCCGGTTGGCCAGTCGGAGAACCAAGAGCAGGTGGCTGATCTTGTTTGATCCACAGGGTGTGGGAGGGATCCAGTGAAATCGTGACAGGGTCAGATTCATGGCAGGCAACCCCAAGGGCAGTAATCCTTTTAGGATCATGGCCTCTCCCCACTGTGCAGAAACATCAAGTGGAGGAACATTCACACAGATCAAAAGGACCTTACATTTTGGCCATTGCCCAGTCACTGAGCACGAGCTTTGCCTGCAGAAAGCTTCAGGTTAGATCCTCCATATCTCCAGGGAAGCATAGGAAAGAATTCTTCCTGAACCCCTGAAGAGGACTCCTAGTCAGTCAACCTCACTGGGGTTTGGCTGAGCATAAAGCAACTCTCTGTTTTCCTAGCTGTTGGGTAGACAGTCACACAGCTCCAAGCATACTGGTTGTGTATGGGGGCGGGGGGAGAGATCCCTTCTTTTTCTGAGGGAGGAAGATGGACCCAAGTGTCAGAGCCAAAACGCATGAAAGCCTCTGGTAATACTTCTGTCTTGCAACATTGCATGAGAACAGGCCTGGCCCAAGACCTTCAGCTGCCTGAAGCAAAGGACAAGGTGGTACCACCTCCTTACCCCAGCTTCTGAAGCTAGATGGACCAGCAGATGAAACTTACTTCAGTGCTTGTGATGGTACCGTGCCCTCTATCACACCCGAGGACATGGACTATTTAAAGGAACCACCCTGACTCAGGTCCCATTGATTTCAATGGATCTACTTGGATGACTTGATCTGGATCCAACATAGAACTAGGTGGACTAGCATTCTGTCTCAGCATAAGATAGCTTCATGCATTGATTAATTGCACAGCTCTGAAGAGCTGCCTATAGGATCAATGGTGCGGTGCCATGGGGTCTGTCCATGGAGAGCTGGAATGCAGGCCCTCTTTATTAGCAGGGATGCTGGCCTGCCACCACCATCCACATCTCCCACCCCCTTCCTTCTGAGCTTAGCTGCAATCCTCACAGTAGCTGTGTAGTGGAATGCATTTTCCCCGCAATTAAAAACTGTTCCTAGCTGTTACATATATTGAGATGGCTTGGGCATAAATGGACAATTAAAACAGATTAGTTTACAAAAGAACTATTCCTGGTCAGGATGAAAATGCTAGAAATGGCTTGTTGATACAGAGCCACACAGCAACTTGAATTTTGAACTCTTCTTGGGGGCATGCACATCGGAACGCCATGATGAGGCACTGCAGTTTGGAGATCTTCCATTACCCCAGTGTGTATGATGGGGCTTCTCTCACTTCCTTGAGCCATTTGGAGTTAAGTTCTCTTCAGTCATTTGCGGGAGAGATGAGGCAGTGGTGGGAAATCATATATCTGATGATGTGATCTTATTTCGAGGGATCATGTTGGTGGCCTTTGTGCCCTATGGGCCTTTAACAGGAAAGATTCCTAACACGGCCTTAGTTAAACCTTAAAGCACATTTTACAGCACAGCGAGACTTTCCCCACCATCCAAATGGAGTGCTGTTGATTTAACACTGAGCTTCACTTGCTCTCTGAATAATACATGTACAAACAAAGCATAAAACACCCCGGAGTTCCCTGTGGAGCAATGAAACATAGGAATAACTCTTAGAGCCCTCTGCTTCCAGCTTGTAAAATAAAGCCTTCCCAGCTTTGTGGTTTCTACCCACCTCCTTTATGGTGGGTGATGTCAGAAGCACAAAATATAGCAACGACATCCCAATAGCTCTATTTTATTTACTAAAGAATCTCTAATGAAGAAATAAAACAGCAGTGTTTCAAGATATATTCGGTGCTGAGGTCCATTTGTCAACAGAAATAAGTAACAAGACTAGCAAGTGATGAAAGACAAGATGAAGCAAGGAAGGAAGACTCCCCAACCAGATGCCTTCCATATGTGTAAGATTACAACCCCAGCATCTATGAGCCAGCCAGACGCTAGTTGTGGCCCATTACAGCAGAAGGACACCAAGTTGGGGAAGATCGACATGATGGGTTTAAAAGTCCTTATACCAGATTCTGATTTGTTTTGTGATTTTATTTAGAACTCCTTCCAAGAGCTCAAGAGAGGTGGGCCAGGAGATGGTGAACTAGAACCTCGGTGCACATCTTTGGGAGCTAATGGCTTTGCTTTTTGCTTGTTCAGTCTCTAGCAAGGTATATTTCCTTGCAGGGGTAGGTTCTTAGGGGACATAAACACAGACCCGCTAGATCAGGACCAAAGGACCACCATTCCATTCTCCAAAGTAGCCAACCAGATGCGTATGAGAACCTCCAAAAGTGGAAAGAACCCGGTGTGATGCTTTGGGTAGCCTGACAATCTGACCGCTTTCTCAAAATGGATGGTGTAGCAATACCGAGCAAGATGGATCAGTGAGGTCTGCTTTCTGAACAGGCCAGCCTTCTTGCCAATTGTTTCCAGTCCTGATTCTCCTGCCTTCTTTTCCTGGGCAGGGTCCATATCACTTCTCAGGAGAAAGAGGGAAAGGCAAGCAGATCCTGCACACCGTAGCCCCAGCATCAAGGGTAGGTATGGCTGGACACTTGCTTGTCCACCTGCCTCTTGCCCTGGTGTTGGTGAGGAGGAGAAGTGGACCCATTCTAGTAATCACTTCCAGGAACTCTCCTTATGGGCCCCATCCTTCAGGAGGGTCCTTCTGAGAGCAAGGACAGCTGAGCCTATAATTGGGCCGCCCTCCTCTGCTAGCAATTTGTCATGGGGTCATGTGTCATGCCTGCCTAGCTTGTCTGACAAAGTCTCCTGCTCCACATCCCCTCCTGCCAACTGTGCATCTTGGTTATTCCTAGAGGCTGCCTGCCCACCTGGGGAGCTGGCCTTGAGCTCAGCATCTCCACTTCTCTCTTCTCAGGTTCTCTGCATGGCCCTCATTCTCAGCCCCCCGGTTCCCCCTTTCCCTTCCCTTCTGTTCTTCTGAATCCCACCAGCAGCCCTTGAGAACGTGCACCCAAAGCAGCCATCTTTCTCACTTCCAGCACTGGTAGTCTTTTGTGCAGTCTTTCCCAAAGGCTGAAAGGTCTCTCCTGTCATTGAATGACTAGAGGTAACAGATGCAAGTAGCTGGAGACCTACAAAGAGTAAGTTGGCAAGGGGGGCGGGCAGCAGGGAGGAGATGCCAGTCAACTTGCTCTGGTGCTATGCAAGCATGGCGTAGCCAGAAGCTGAGAAGGGACAAGGATCATGCAAAGCACCGGTGTTGGCCCCCTTTAGCCTGGGGGCTGAGTTCTGTTTTGGAGAAGCTCCCTGGAGCTGTACAATAGTGGTGACCTGGACTATAAGCAAAAGCGGCAAAAACACCTAAAACACCAGCTAAATTTAGCTTAGAGTTCCTACTGTCAGTAAGTCTTCATCAACACACACATAATTAGGACAATTGGCCAAGAACTAAGAAAACTATCCAGTAAGTTTGCTTCTGATCAGTTGATAATCTCAAGTTTGTAACTCAACCATTTCATTCTTCCCAGTCCTGTTACCCACTCTTGGGGGGGGGGGCAGTTTACAAAGGGAACTGTTTTAAAAAAGAACTGTTATGTTCTTTTTTAAAACCCTTCATAGTGTGTGTGAAAGGGCCTAATTTCAGGGGCCCTATCTGCTTACTTTAAGGTAAATAAAAGGTGAGGATTAGCTGAACAGTAATCTAGTGCTTAGACTGGGTGTAATTATATCTCTTGTTCTTTCAAAGAACAAAAAAAAAAGCACCAAGTTGTCCTAATGCACTGCCATTTAATACTGAATGTATCCAAGGAATTTTGAGATGAATCTTACCCTCCCCTTTCTCTGTACCCTTTTCCTTGTTGTGAGGAACCCAAGGCAGATTGCATAGCTCTACTTTATCCTCACCACAACAACCCTGTGAGGTAGGCTAGGCTGAGAGGGAGTGACTGGTCCGAAGTCACCCAGTGAGCTTCATGGCCAAGCTGGGATGAGAACCTGGACCTCTCAGTCATGAACTGGGCAAGCGAGCAATAAGAGAAGGGGCTCCAGCTCTGCTCCTTTCTTGCGCTGTATTTGTTACCCTCTATTTGCAGCAGGAGATTGTTCAAGGAGGAAGGCCTCATGCATCCGTGGAGGCTCCCCCACAGCTCAGAACACCAATTTCCAGCACTGCGGCTTGAGTGGGGAATCTCTTCTATCTACAGGGCTTCTCCTCTTCAGGTGGTCACCCTCATGAATAGAGAGTGATGGCTGTGACAATGGAGGAACACTGGTCCTGGAGTATTCCTTCTCCTCGCTGAACCCAGGAAGACAACACATGGCCAAGGAATTCGGAAAATAAACCAGGACTGGCCTTGCACACGGCCTGCGTTTGAAGCATAAGCCACAAATGGCTGTTTGGGGAAGGTGCATGAAAACGGTGTCTGAGCAGGGCTGTGCTCCACCTTCTATTTGCTTTTCCTGCTGCAGAGATACCAAAGGGGTTCCTTCTTTCGATTGCAGTCCTAGGCAAATACCGCAATGGTCCCACTACCTCATCATCCCCATCCCCACAAGTATTGACACACTGCTTTTCCAAATAAAACCCAAACTAGCTCATGCGAGCAGCAAACCCATCAATATTTGTACAACAAACACAGTCACTGATATATCAAACATACTTCTATGATATAATATTGAAACCCACTAAACATTGCAATACAACTTCTTTTAACATATGAAAAGGGTTCCTTTTATCAATAGCATCACCAAATAAATAATAAATAAATAAATAAATCTCCATTCAGCTCACAAACCATTCACAAGCAAATCCAAATCAGTAAAGGTGCTTCTAGATGAGGTTTTATAACCCCAGTATATAGATGGATTTATTCATTCATTCCTTTGGAAGTGGGGAATCCCTCCAGGCCTTTCTACTTGCAACTCTCCTGTGTTTTTCTACCAGTTGTCATGGGGTTTTCCCCCGCTCCCCTTACCAAAAATTTATTAAGGAGAAAAAGATGGAAATGCTGCACAACACCTTCCAATTCATAGTGCTAGAAGCTTTCCATTTGGAATGATTATAATAATTATCATTCCCCTTTCTGCCCATAATAGTACTCTAAAATATATCAGTAGCAAGGCATTAGAATTTAAGTTCATTAAATTCAAATTCTAGTAAAGCAACCAGTCCTCAATGGTCTGACTGGCTTCCATGGGATCAGGAAGCTGGACCAGCCAGACCTGTGGTCAGATCCACAAGAGCTCTTCCATGTTCTTAGGAGCCTCACATGCGTGTGTGTAATTGCTGGCATGTTCTTGTTTGGTGGTGCTTTTCCAGTTCATTCAGCAGTTCCTCAGGATCCATGCAACCAAATATGCTAGGAAGGTACAGGATCCATTGAGGCCAACCATGTATACCTGGGGTAATAGGTCTTTCAATGTGTCTAGAGTGGCCACTGATAAATTGCTGGAAAAGAAAAGAAAATGTACCAAAAATAAAAAGGAACAATAACAATGTATATAACAGCAGCATAGGCTCATTTATAAGGATGCACATTTACAAATATTTATTATAATTTAAATGAAGTCCATCTAATAGAGGTGAGCTGGTCAGGGATCCTGCCTGTCAGGTTGCTGCTCTAGAGTGAATGGTGGAAAGGCAACCATTCTGATGCTTTTTTCTCTGTCAACCAGAATTAAACAGGACAGCCCTTCAAATAGAGGGTGCTTTCAAACAGAGGACTGTCCTCTACAAAACAAGACACCTAGCCACCGATGTCCTGTCAATTTTTCAGGCATGTTTCATCCATTTTGGCTAAACATAATTGCCACAGATGTGTGCATTCTTCAGAAACAAGGCAATGGGAGTGGACAGAAGGAGAAATGTGACCTCAAGGGAGAGCCATTCCGTGGTGTCAATGGGGATCCATATTTTCACAGCCGTTCCTTGGCTGTGAAACAGTCACACGGTCCAGCAGCTGGAGGTGGAGGGTGGCAGGGGGTGGGGGTGGGATTGGAGTGGGGAGCCGCAAATCCTGTGGAAGAACATTTAGTTGTCAATCATCCTCTTTGGCTTTGGGCTCATGGGTGGAGACTCTGCTCCTTTCCACCACTCTTATTGGTGAGCTTGGAGTAGGCCGAGACATTCTCTCAAGTTTTTATCTTGAGATGCAAGGTAATCTTTGGAAGAATTGCTGCCCTGTGAATTTCTAGCAGAGCAAGTGAGAAGAAAAAGTAAGGGAAAGCTAATCTCTAAACTAAGTTAGGAAGCATTACAGGAAAGAATGCAAAGCATATAAAGGACAAAGGGGGAGGAAACACTTTTCAGTCGCTGTGAATTTTCTTCACTGGTTGGATTTGTGCTAACTGGATACATACTCTGAACTGGGACATACCTGAAAGTGGGCGACTGAAAGAAGGGAAACTGAAGATGCGATTCTTGGGCTCCTGCCTGTGTGATTGATTGGCACACGCACACAACACCATGATGCAAGGAGTCAAGACAGCTGGCACCACGGAGGCAGCCTGGTGATTTTGCTGCTCATGACTAAACAGAAGAGCATTATGTTCCTCAGGTGCTTACCGTGTGGCGGCCAAGAGGATGTGCTAGTCAGCCCAACATAAAAAGTGCAGCTACTCTGACGCACTGATAAGGTTTTCTTAAAGAAGCAAAGCAACAAGGACTCTTCAGTGCAAGGACGACACCACTGGCCCATCTGGAGCCCATCTGGGAAAACTCTCTGGGACTTCAAGGAGGTAAAAGCCGGTGCAGCAGGATGACCATGGTCAGGGAGCTTCTCCAGGCTAGAAACTTGCTGCTGGTGCTCCTAATTCCACTCCTGTTGCTTCCTCTGCCACTCTTGTACCCCACTAGCGTAAGTACCTTGTGTTTTCATCACTTGGGCCCTAATTGTACATTGATGTGACTGACCAGCTAGATTACTAGAGTTCTAGGCAAGTCATCAGCAGCGGGGGGAAAGCAAGGACAGCTTTGACTTCTGCTACTGGCCCCACTCCTCAGATTTTGGCTAACCTGTCCAAAACAAAATGGAAAACAACAAGGTCATGGAAGGTTTAGCTCAAAGAGGCCCTTTGGGTGGCCCAGGAGTGCAAAGGAAGGACACCGAATGAAAGAATGAAAAGTTCACAAGGGTAGCTTTCCCCACAGAGATTGGACAGAAGAGGCTTCTCGTGATATGGAGATAAATGGCATGAAAAGAATTCCATACTCAGTTCTGGGGCTGATTTTCCTTGTTCTCCTTTCCTTCTTCAATAAAAGAAACCTGGATAAGGAGGAACTTGAGTTTTCACATCTCTGCTGTCCCTTGCCACTCAAAAAAAAAAAAAAAAACAAACAAACCCCCACCATTCTGGGAGAAGGGAACTGTGATATCCATGTCACCCCACGTTATTCCTTAACATGGCATCCAGCCCAGAGGTTTGTTTCACACAAGCCATTCGCAAGCACAATGCCCCGTTCCAGTGACAGTCTTTTGCAGACGTGTACAAAGAAAGGAGTAGGGGCTTGCACCATGAAAGGGGTTCACCAGAACTCGGGCAGCACTGTCTCCTGGGAGTATGTCCTGCAAGATCCCCTGGCCATTCAGCCTCCAATAATATTCTTTCCTTGCAGAAGTTGCAGAAAAATACAACTGGCATGGGCAGGGGCGGGGGGGAGGGCATCTGATCTGAGAAACTGCCTTGAGGAAGCAAAGCTATGGGCTGTATCTGACCCTAGACCTGTTCTCACTGAACCCTCTCCAAGCTGCAGTGGCGTGCAATTGGGAGCTGGCCAAATCTTATTTTATGGAACTGTGCAGCCTTCACTTCCTTAAAGACACTGTTTCCATACCTCCACTTGGATTTAAAAACCAGGGGCAACCAATATGCACACATGAGGATTTCTTTTGGACTGTATCTTTAAACTGGCTCATATTTTCCAGATCATTTTGTGGGTCACATAAGGCCATCCATTGGACTTTTGCACTTCTCCAGAATTTGTGATTCAGTTCTTGGCTCACAAAATGCACCAAATGCATATTTTAAGCTAAAATGAGTACAAAAAGATTTGTATACTAGTTCAGGTTACAATGTAGACAAAAATAATGTACATTTGTGCATGTGTGTTATTTTTTTTAAAGCAAGCAGATTGATGCAGGAAAGGTTGGAATGTCTTTATGATCACATGCTGAACTGACAGGGACCTTCGATAGACTGATTTGTCCCTCCCTAAAAACCAGGGATCAAATTTACCCTTGTTGCTCTGTTTGGTTACAGACACAGGAACTGGGCCAATAAATAAAAGGTGGCAATCTTTTGAAAAAATGTGATTATGCTGTGGGTACTATATTTATAGAATGAAAAGCAGCAACTTGCTGCTGGAACCCATGAGAGAATTGGGGAAAATCTCTAAGGGTAACCAAAGCCCCCCTCCCCACCGAGGCCGAGTCTTCTGCCTCACCGGAATGAGGCCCACGGGGGCAGGTTTGGGCTCAGCAGACGCCAGCATTATGTTGTCTTTCAGCCATCAAGTCTGCTTTCCTAAAGCCCCAGAGCAGGCCCATTCTGGAGCACTCCATGAGCCTGATTTGGGAATTCGCTGGGAGTGCAAAATTCAGCTCATGTCCCAGAGGCTATACACAAGCAATATCGGGAAGATGTTTTCCTGCTTTTGTTCACTGCTTGTCGACTTGCCAGGCAGACTGTTGGGCTGCTGTTAGAAATTACATCTTTTGCTCCTTTACCACATGGCCTGATCTGGCAACCCCGTGGGCTGTGAAGAGCTGGGGATGAGAATCTAGCCCTGTGCAGGCATGCAGGACCCGCTTAACATCAACGCATGAAGAGAGGAGTGCTTAACACTCAGCCGCTGTTCCCATGGCCAGAGCAACTCTTTGAGGAGGAGAGCCTTGCGCACTTGTAGAGGCTCTCCATGCAAAAGCAGGACCCGGAGAATCAGTATCCTGGATCTCAGAGAGATGCTCTGTGGATAGGAGAGACTTTCCTGTTCAGCCCATTGCCCTGCGCAAGTGCAGAGTGACCGAAATGTGAGAGCACTGGCAGAGCTGAGCAATTCCTCTCCTGTGTTGATTCTGCACAGATCCTGAATGCCTAAATACAGTAGGTTTCTGTGGGCAGATGGTGCTGTACCTTGTTAAAGCATAGCAGGTGTCAGCTTGGTTCATTTGCAAATGGGGAGAGAAACACGGAATTCCATGCATGATCTTTATAGATAGTATATTCTATTTATAACCCACCTCCTTTCTGTAAGGACACAAGTCTACTGACGCATAACAGCTGCTTAATTTTGAAGAGTTTTCCTCCAATCTGTATTTGCATCCATCTAAACTTTGGGGCCCTTTCAGACCATATTCACAAGGTACCAAATAAAAAAATATGAATTGGAAGAGTTAAAAGTTCATTGTTCTGACCTAGACTCTCTAAAAGCCATGCTTTGCTGGACTTGGCATCTTTCATTCAGTCTTGTCCACCAAACTCTAATAAGAAAGAAATATCTTGAGTTCGGCTTCTTTGAGTCCTTGAATGGCTTGTTGCCATCCAATTTTCTGGCAGGATTCCTCTAGCAGGCAGATTAATAGAGGAAATTGTCAATGATTGCATCTCCATGCTGATCAAAGTTTAGAATAAAGCAACAATGCTGCTAAACATTTTTCGGTTTTCACTCTTGTTCAAGTGTTAAGGCCAACCTCTTAGTTGCAGTTGCACATAATCTGGTGAATGTTACTCCGTGATGAGGAACATGCACTCTGTTCAAGCTCAGATGCACATTATCATTTCTTCCAGAGCAGAATTGGGGTGAGCTCTACTGCTTGAATTTTAGATTTACATATCCAATGGCAAGTGCAGGACTATATGGGTGGAAATGCACACAATTCTCTTTGATCCCTTTCTGTCCTTATGATCATTTGTGAAAGAGCAACTACAAGTTGCATTAGTGCTTGAATTTAAGAAGAGGAGGGGTGGAATATGTATATAATCTTTAGAGATTAGTTTTCTTTCAAGAATGAATATGCTCTCTTACAAATGTTCTCAGGGAAGGCAGCTTCATTTACATTTCATTGTTTGTTTTAATGAAGTTAAGATGCACCTTTTTGATTGATTTGTTTCGAACTTGTTTAATTAATGGTGTCCCCTTGTTTATCAAGCTGGAGTGAACAAATGAGCAAATAGGCAAATTAGACAAAGTAGAAGTCAGCTCAAACTAATTTTAACCTCATTAAGGAAGTAAACTAAGAGCAAAGCAAAGGAAGATAAATGAGTCTCTTTCTTTCCTTTGCATCTATTCAGCTGACAAGAGTTAGGCAATTACAAGTTACCGAGCCAGTAGATAATGAAGCAGAATTAAGGCATAATGAATACCCCTCCCCCCAAATTAAAATTAACAAGCAACAAGTAGTTGATTAATATAGAATATAGAATGTGATTAGGGATGGATGGATCTATTTAATTCAGTTACTTTATTTAGGGTGCAACCCTACAACCTCCCAATATTTTCTTTGGGGCCACAGGATAGGTCCAAGTGCCAACTCTAACCATAGAAATACCTTCTGAGGTTTGAAATGGAACTCTGACCTTGAAGCACATGTGTGTGCGCGCACACACACACAGAGAGAGAGAGAGAGAGAGCGCGCGCACCTATGTGGTCCTTCATGTACTGGTTGGTCTGCCAAAGATAGAAGACCAGCTTCAGAACTGGAGAGGAACATTTTGGGAGGCAGGGAATGGTGGAGAAATTCACAGTAATTTATTTGTTCATTCATTTCATTTTTATACTGTCCAATAGCCAAGGCTCTCTGGGTGGTTTAAAAGAGTTAAGAAAGATTTAAAACACATGCACATACAAGAAAAAATAATTTAAAACAGGAAAACCGCAATTACAATTGAATCAGTGCAGAAGCATCAGTGTTTTGATTTTGTTCGTTCAGTCACAAAGTAAAATAAAACATTAAAAAGTGAAGTTTAAAAATTAAGTTGTTAAAATGCTGAGAGAAAAAAATGATCTTCACCTGGCACTGAAAAGAATTCAAAGTAGGCACCAGGCACACCCCTTTGGAAAGGCAATTCCACAACTGGGTGCCACCATCAAAAAGGCTCTCATCCTGTTAGTTACACTCCTCAATTCCTTTGGAAGGGGCTCCTGAAGTGCCCCAAATGACAAGACTTGTCATTTAGGGGGAGTGCAACCCCATCCAGAACAGGTCGAATATCACCAAAATGGACAGATGAACCACCCATTAACAGCACCTCTGTCTTGTCTGGATTGAGTCTCAGTTCATTGGCCTTCACCCAGAGCTCAGACACTGATTCGGAGTGGCCACTGCCTCACCTGGGTTGGATGAGAGAGAGAGGTAGAGCTGAGTGTCAGCAACATCTTGAGAACATCTCAGCCCATACCTCTGCATATCCTACCCCAGCAGCTTCATGTAGATGTTAAATAGCATAGGGGGTAAAATAGAACCCTGCAGTACCCCATCCCATAACTACAACGGCACAGAGCAATAATCCCCCACATCACCTTCTGGAATTGGCCGGTCAAGAAGGAGTAGAGCCACTACAAGGCCATGCTTCCTACTCCTAGAGCATATCCTGGTGTTAACCTGTTGATCCTTGGCTGTTCCTCCTTGCAGGGAAAGGAAACTATTTAGACAGCCCAAATCAGCCATCTGAAAATTTTGGAGTATATGGCAGCAACCTGGCCTTTCCACCTGCCACTGGGTGCCTGTAATCCTCTGAGTTCATCAGCATATACATATTCTCACTGAATGGCACCCTAACACAATATTTTTGCCCAAATCATTCAGCATTTTCATCACTCCGACAACATGGCATCCTACCTGATATTGCACACTGGTGC